TATTGCCCTCCCTGTCACTCATGTTACCATGTGTCTACCCCTTAAGTCTGTGAAAATTTTTCTCTGTATAGTGAAGTCATCCATATAGTTTCTTATTCATGTTATTTGCATCTTCTCCCTTTCTTTTCTTAGATTTGCCAATGATTTGTCAATTTTACTAATCCTTTGAAGGAACCAACTTCTTGTCTTATTGATGCTTTCTGTTGTTTTCTATCTACTTCTGCTTTAACCTTTATTGTTTGTTTCCTTCTGGTCATTGGAGGCTTACTTTGCTGCACTTTTTCTAATTGTTGAGGATTTTGGGTTAATGTGTTGATTGTGGCTCTTCCTTTTAGTTGTGTGCGTTGATTGCTGTAAATTGCCTTCTGAGCACTGCTTTTGTTGTGTCCAAAAGATTTTGATTTGTTGATTTTTCATTCCCATTTGATTCAAGAAATTTTTTTATTTCATTTTTTGTTTCTTCTATTGTGGCGCTGTAGGATGAGCAAACCCACTAGCTGCTCCTTGGAAACCTAATACATGATCGCAATTAGTGATTCAACAGCAGACTTTACCCAGTAAGACACTTTGGTAGCCTAGTGGGTTACTCACGGAGCTGCTAACTGCAAAGTCAGCATTTCCAATTCACTAGCTGCTCCACAGGAGAAAGATGGGGCTTTCTGCCCCAATAGAGATTGAAAACCCTGTGTAAAATTGCTTTGAGTAGGAACCAACTCAACAGCACACCACCATCACCATACCCAGTAGCTTTTTAAACAGCATGTTATTAAATTTCCATTAGACTTTTTTGTCCTTATTCTTCTTATTGTTCATTTCTAATTTATAGCCTTGTGATCTGAGAAGATGCTTTGTAGTATTTGTATGTTTTTTAATTTATTGAGGTTTGCTTTGTGGCCTAACATATTTGTGTATTCTAGAGAATGTTCCATGTGCACTGGAAAAGAATGTGCTATAGTTGGGTTGAATGCTCTATATAAGCCTGTGAGGTCAAGTTGATTGGTTGCATTGTTTAGTTCATCTGTGTCTTTTTTTAGTTTCCTCTAGTTGTTCCGTCCTCCATCGAAAGTGGTGTATTAAAATCTCCTCCTATTGTTGTTGAGGTGCCGCTGCGTCAGTTCTGACTCATATTGACCATACTTAATGGTCACAACAGAATGAAACACTGTCTGCTTTATCTACTATTATTATGGCGTTCTCCATTTCTTTCTTCATTTCTATTAGACTTTGATTTATGTATTTTGAGGCCCTTTCAGTGGGAGCATAGATATTTATTATGGTTGTGTCCTCTTGTTCAATTGACCCCTTAATTGTAATACAATCTCCTGCTTCGTCTCTTATGCTGATTTTTACCTTAAAGTCTGGTATTTTATCAGAGATTACAACTGCTACTCCTCCTGGTGTTTTATTGCTGTTAGCATGACACATTTTTTTTTTCCATCCTTTGATTTTTAGTCTGTTTTTGTCTTTGTGTGTAAGGTGTGTCTCCTTAGAGAATATATTGAAAGATACTGTTTTCTTATCCATTTTTTCTACTCTGTCTCTTGACTGGTGCATTTAATTCATTACATGCAGTGTAATTATCAATAAATATAATTTGATTACTCTCGTTTTGCTGTGTGTGTGTTTAAGCAGTGCTGCTGGTTTCTTTGTTCCATGGAAGGCCTTTTTGAAATCTCTTCCAAATAAAGTTGGTCTCTTTTGAATATCTGAAGTCCTATATTTGGCCTTGATTTTGCTGCTTTTCATGGTATATTCTTAATTAGCTCCTGACCCATAAAGTAGATGGACCATCCTACTCTTTATATGTGTTGTGTTGTTCTTGAGTGTTGTTGAGTTGGTTCCAACCCATAAAAACCCTGTATAGGGGTTTCTTAGGGGCAGCTGTGGGTTTGAACCACGAGCATGTGGTTCGCAGTCCAGTGCTTACCCTACAGTGCCACATTAGTCTTTATACATGGTGGTGGTGGTTATGTGCTATGGAATCAGTTCCGAGTCATAGCAACCCTGTACAGGGTTTCTGAGGCTGTAAATCTTTACAGGAGCAGAAAGCCTCATCTTTCTTCCATGACCCTGAAGTTAGCAGCCCGATTCGTAACCACTATACTACCAGAGCTCCTTAGTCTTTATACATAGTAGATACTAAATGAATACTTGTTGTTGAACATCTAACCCAATGATGGAGATGTCTATATACCTACAGGTTCCAACCTAAAGTCTCAAGTAAGAAAATGTTAACCAAATTTAGATTTGGGGAGATTAAAGATAATGAAAACAGGGCAAGTGTGTTCTCTCTTTCTTTAACCATTATAACTATTATGATCTGAACCAGGTCCTTCAAGATTGTTGTGTATCAAGTCAAAATAGGCCTGATCTTGACAGATGGGATCACTTTCTTGGCAATAGCTAAGGGTTTGAGAAGAAACAACTCAATTGTCTGGCATCATTAATGCTTTAATGCTGTCAAACACTGGATGCTGTCTCACTTAGTCTCCATTTACAACTCAGAGGAAGGAGTTAAATAGCTTTCCTTAGCATTACAAAGGTAGACTGGGATTCTGATAATAGAATAGGAATTTGAATCTGGCTGCCTCTGATACCCCTCACTATTTTATTGTTTTCATACATTTGTTGATTAGCAAGAGATAAAAGAACCCTAGGCTGAAATGATCCCCAAAGCTGGTATGCAGTGTGGAAATACTGTGAAGCGCTCAGACCCATGTGCCTTTGGACCTGGAATTAGAAAACCTAGCTTCTGGTCTCAACTTTGCCACTGTTCTCACCCAGTTTTAATTGGAATTTCTGTCTTCTTGTTGTTGAGGTATTGAAGTTTTCTGTAAATTTTAGAGAGTAGTCCTTTGTCTGGAGTCCTGGTGTGGCTCTGTAGGAGAAGCACTGATCAGCACTGCAGGATAAGTCTGTGTTCTTGGGTGAGTCATTAAACTTCTCTAAACCTGGGTCTTCTAGTATTTATAATTAGAGAACTAAACCAGATTCTTTCATTCATTCGTATTTCATGCATCACTGCAGTAGCTTAAAGTTTTCTGAAGTAATATATAAATAAATGAGGGATTTAAATACAACACTATATAATAATGCAGCCCTCTAAATATGCACAGAATACCCTGAGAGCCTAGAGTTGGAGGGGCAAGGTGCCCCCTAGGGCCCAGTCTTCCTAGTTCATCGCTAGCCAGGGAAAAGAACTGCAAGTGTTGGTAGGTGCCAGTTAAGTTGGTTCTAACTCATAGTGATCCTGTGGACAACAGAATGAATCACTGCCCAGTCTGTACCATCCTCACAATCTTTGCTGTGTTTGAGTCCATTGTGGTGACTGTGTCAATCCATCTCATTGAGGGTCTTCCTCTTTTTCACTGACCTTCTACTTTATTAAGCATGATGTCTTTCTCCAGGGACTGATCCATTCTAATCTGTCCACAGTATGTGAGACGAGGTCTCGCCATCTTGCTTCTAAGGAGCACTTTGGCTATACTTCTTCCAAGACAGATATGTTTGTTCTTCTAATAGCCCATAATATATTTAAAATTCTTAACCAGCACCATAATTCATCGGTTTTCCTGATTCATTGAAGGAGCATATATTTGACGCATTTATGCTGGGTCTGGCACACCTTAGTCCTCAAAGTGACGTGATGAAAGAGGGAAAGGGAGAAAAACTAAGATTGGATAAGTAAGATTTAGATCAGGAAGGGACCTGTGTGTCTACTGAAGGAGCTTGAACGTTTTCTAAGACTATTTATCATAAGGCAGATTTTAAAGCAAAATTGCATTAGCATCTTTTTAATAAGGATCTCCCTGGCAGTGTAGCAGATGGCATTCAGAGGCACAGAACGGGTGGTTGCAAAAACTAATCCAGAGGAGGAATGAGGATGGCATGAACTAGTAGTGGCTATGGGAAGGAGAATAGAGAATAAGCTTGAAAGTTATAAGAAAATAGAATGGCTAGAACTTGGTAGCTGTTCCAGTCAAGATGGTTAAAGACAACTCCACAGTCTTAAAACAGGAAAGATTTATTTCTTGTCCACACTAGATACCCACTGCAGGGATGAGAGGCACTCTTTGTGGTCACTCGGAAACCAAACTGAGGCACTTCTTCAGCATGGCCAGGCTCACTCACACTGGCAATCAAGTACTGCAGCCCAGAAGTGACCTGTATCATTTCCAACTCATGAATGGTAACTTTCACACGGTGTCCCACTCAGCTATTTAGGCCAGAAAGTTCCGTTGATCAAGGCACTGCTCTGCTATGATGTGATTCTCAGATTTTTCTTAGAGAATTAGGTAGTCATTTGAGGCATTCACTGAAAAATTAACAACCAAACAGGTGAGAGAAAGCAGACAGAGCAAATCATTATAAGTTTTCTACTATGAAACGTAACCATTTTCTTGGTCATTCCCATTATTTGAGGGCAGGCTTGAAAGTCAACTCTGTATTTGTGGGTTAGTTTAGTTGTTACAGGTTCCATCTTCCTAGTCAAATAAAGCCTTTTAGGTTTTGAATGCAACCATCAGATCTAATATATGGATCTTTCTTTAATTTTCTTATGGACTATTGTGTCAACATATGGTGTTTAAAAAAAAAAAAGTGATTAACAGGGATGTTAGTGAAGCCAAAGCCGTCCTCACAAATATCAGATGCTGAATTCAAAATGCCAGAGATGCAAATGCCCTCTCCTTCATTACTGCGGTCCCCCAGCGTGATACATTTCAAGCTATCAAGGGGTGGGAGCTGGGGAGGAGGTGTAATTAGGCTGATTGGAGCCTATTGTGCTGCCCCGAGCACAGACATCAGCAGCCTTAGGGAGTGCTGGGGCCTCAAGATCTTTTGGGAATGATGTCCTCTTTACCTCAAAATACACAGCAGAAGCAACGAATCTGTACTGTTTCCTTCCTGCTTTGTTTTCCCACCGCCCCTCCCCAGTTTAATTGTGGGGTTTACTGCATACCTTAAAAACTGACTTTTATTGTGCATTTGTTTCTGAACAGTTGCGAGAAACAATCAAAGCTGGCAAAGGTGTGACTTCAGCTATTGACCTGTGTCGTTACCATGGAAACAAAGCACTGGAGGCCCTGGAGAGCTTTCCTCCCTCGGAGGCCAGATCTGCTTTAGAAAACATTGTGTTTGCTGTGACCAGATTTTCATGACACCAAATTAAAAAGACACTATTGTTCGTTTGCTGGAAATTTTTTTTTTAAAAAAGAGAGAATGAAGTGATCTAAATGTGTTAATGATTTTCACAGTATATACTTATCTTTTTGTCCCTTCCTGAATGAATACTGTCTTCTTTTCGGAACTGCTACAAACAGAATTTGGAGGAAAAAAGGTCATGCCGTTTTCACTTGTCATGCCAGAAGCATACTTGAGGCTGCAGTCACAGAAATAATTAATGAGATGTGCCCCTGTGACCTCAGCAAATGGACAGGAAATCCGTCCTTATTGATTGGACCCAGCAAGGATGGCGCCAGGGCGGTGGCCTGTGGTTTTCCTTCTAGAGAGGACGAAGCAAGCTGGAAGCTGCAGGTGTCCAGAGGAGTATTATCAATACCAGCCAGAGAAGACCGGCAGATCATAAATGAGTGACCAACTGGTCAGAGCGAAGGATGATTCAATGAAAAAGAAATATGCCTCATCTTGCAATTATGTTTCTGGGCTATTTATAGATCCAGTGTGAAGATAGTGTGTGCTTGGTGTTTTTTGGTTTTGAGAAATTGCTAGGGGGAGGGAGGCAGAGGGAGGGATGCCACATATTTTAAGTTGTTGTCAAGTGCCATTGAGACTGTTCTGACTCCAGTATTTTAAGTGGGAGATTCAAATGTTATCAAATGTTAACTTGGTTATATTAGGAATTACTTGTTTTTCTTTCTTGAAGACCAAATCATTTTCAAACACCATTTCAAAGAACTTAGCCCTTTTTTTTTTTTCTTAACAAGTTCCACTTTTCCAATGAAATGTATTCATTTGTTAATACTTTGGTACTTTGGTTTAGAGAATACCTTTAATTTTCACATGTGTCAGTCATGTAATTGTTGAGCTCGGGAATTCATGAGTGAGACTTTTCTTTTAACTTCAGGATGTCAAGTTCTCATCTTGAACCACAAACATCCAGTCACAGAAAGCATATAGGCACTCACACAGCTCTGCCTCCGGACACTGTCTCTGTGGTTCATAGGAGATGATTTTTGTGGTTTGCATGCATGCAATATGAGAACACCGTTGACAAGAAGGCTGAGTTTACATCAATGATCTAGATTGAGCCTCAGCTACCTTTCTTCCTTATGGTGTAATTACAGCCCTATCTGGAGACAGCAAACACAGCAAACAGATTTTATTACCTCATTCACTCAAACACTAAGTGAAGTTATTTTAGTTAAGTCCCTCCCCACAATAGTTACAAAAGCATTTTATCAGCACCCAGCATGTGGCATGCAATGAAAAGAAAATGCAAAACTACAGAGGTTAAAGTATTGTACTGTAAAATATTTTTAAGTGTATTGGAAATATTGTAATTGTTCAGTTTATGCTACTACAGTTTGAAGGTGTACATATTTAGCTTAAGAGAACACTCCATTCTTCTGTTTGAAATGTCTTTGCTTTTCTCACTGAAAATGGCTTAATTAGTAACTATGCTTAAGATGCTTTAGATCAGAGTAGGTTTTAATCATTAACTTCTAAAAAGAAGAGTAATGCTTTGTCTCTGTGGATGGGCTGGAATTTCATTGTGAGAGGTTTTAACAAGCGTGTTCTGTATTGCAGGCCCCGGGACAGGATCTTAGGGCTCTTCTAATTCAGTTTAACAGCTGGTTTTCTCTGTGACCTTGACCCTATGAACACTGATTTCCTCATTTGTAAAATGAGGTTAAATTGGATAGTGTATGATAATGTATGAAGTCTCTTCCAGCTTTGTTTTACTTTCCAAAAACTGGACATTTCTAACTGTCTAAATAACAACAATGGAGTTCCTGGGTGGTCCAAATGCTTAACACACTTGGCTATTAACTGAAACTTTGGTGGATCAAGTCCACCCTGTAGTGCCTGAAAAATAAGCCACTGAAAATGCTGTGGCTACATTGTGGGATTGCAGTCAATAACATGAAGCAAAATGTGTCACCGTTGTTGGATGGAAAACTGATTTGCTCTGTAAACCTTCACCCAATTCTTAATAAAATAGTTTTAAAAAAAAAACACAGAAACCCTATGTATCACAGTTTCTCTAGCACACATTGCGTTGACTTGGACTGTAACTGGGAATAACAAAGGCGCATGCTAGATTCAGGGAGGAGAGACAGTGATACCCCAAGAGTAACCCTGAAGGATGCTGCTTGCTACACTGTCTCACAAGTGACCTAAACTATTCCCAACTCCCCAGGATGGCACAGACCCTTTCTGCTTCCTTTGGGACCATGTTCTAGTTCCTTTTGTCTTCGCACCTTTTGTCTGCCTTCCTACCCTTTCTGCCCTCTCCTGTGCTTTGCCATGCTGTCTCCTGGTCCCTGCAGTGTGACAGTGCTCAGCCCTGGCTGCCTGTCTGCTCAGGTCTTAACAGCGGGCTCACGTCCTCTGTATCTTGGCCAGTTTTTGTAAAACTGAACGTTGGCTAAAGATGAAATACTGACAGGCTCTCCCCATGTCCTTTGGCAGGGATAATTTATTAGCTCAAATTAAGTTCTTACAGTTTGCAGTCTTTGAGGAGAAATTGGGGGCAGAGAGATATTCCTCAATCACATCTCACCGAACTCTGTGGGTACAGTCAGTGAAAGTAATGAATAGGTAAGAGTTAGCCGCCCTAAAACGTCTCTTTCTTCTCGCTCTTTTCTCCTTGAATATGCCCCCTTTTTTGCTAGAGCAAGAATTCATTGGCCTTTTATCCTGCTCTCCTCCACCCCACCTCACCCCAACTTCTGAATTGGCTTCTCTAAACCTCACTCACTTCAGGCTCCCATCTCACTATCAGTTTTCTGTACTAAGTATAAAAAAAGACTACATTATTGAGGGCCCATGGGTATAAACACTCAGCTTAGGGAATTAAACACACACTCCTTTTAGCTCCCATAAAAACTGTGGGATACTGGCTTGCATAATATGCCCTTAAGACATTTAAATGAATACACATTTTTTGTTTTATATATGTACCTCAAATGTTTTTGTTTTGTTCATTTGTGAAAAATAAGATGTAACTGGGGAGCCACAGGGAAAGAAGTAGGATCACTGTTGTTGCAGGAAAGGCATTGTAATCCTTGAGATAAAACAAAGTGTATAATTTTTTTAATGTAAAGCTAATGATCTTCGGTGTTAACCTTCACTCAATTCACAATAAAAAGTTTAAAAAAAAAAATTTTAACTGTGAGGTAAGTATTTCACCACTTACAGATGCAGAAACTGGCAGAGAAAACTCAGAACTTCCGTCTGATAGACTTACTCACACTTCCACCTCTTTGCACCTGAAGGTCTTTTCAAACACCTCTTTCTCTCCTTTGCTTCTCCTTCCAAAGAATTGTTGTTGTTGTTATGTGCTGTGGAGTCGGTTCTGACTCATAGTCGACCCTGTACAGGGTTTCCGAGGCTGTAAATCTTTATGGGAGCAGAAAGCTTCATCTTTCTCCCGCGGAACAGCTGGTAGTTTCGAACTGCTGACCTTTTGGTTCGCAGCCCAATTTGTAACCACTACGCTACCATAGGAATCTGTATTCACTGCCTAGGTTCACAAGCCCTGTTGTATTATTCCTGTTCTCAGATCTTCAGTGGCCCCTCGCTTGGCTATGAATGTACTCAATTCTCCCTACATTGTTGTTGAGTGCCATTGAGTTGGTTCTGACTCATAGTGACCCTGTATAGGGTTTCCGAGGAGCCGCTGGTGAGCTTGAACCTCCGACCTTGCAGTTCAAACCAACGTTGCAGAGGGGTCCAGTGCTTTATCCTCCAGCACCATACCAGGACTCCTCAGCGGTGTGCTGTTTCTCTGCTCATGTTCCCCCTGTATCTTCATTAAGATTCATCCTTTGCCTTGTTTCTCCTTCTGCCTCCATTGTTTTCTTCCCATCTTTACCAATGAAGTCTGTTAACCCTTAACCCTTGCAACCAGTCATTCCTGCCAATGTAGACCAGCGCCAGGCCTGTAGGCAAAGAATCCTTGTTCAACAAATGTCGTGGGCCTCTCACCGCTCTACTCTGCTGAGGCAGCCTTGAAGTTCACAGATGCTCCTTGCTGCGAAGTTTGCATGCTGTGTCCCTCCACTTGTCACCCTCAGCTCTGGTGGGCCTCATTCTCATTCTTCCCCTCTTCTCTGATGATCTCTTCCTCTGATGGGGCTCCCTCTCACCCCCACCCCAGAGACATTACTTCTTAAAAATTCAAATTCTGTTTGTCCAGGAATTACAAAGCAGTTTCCTGCCCCACTAAGTCCCTTTCTTTTAAGTTCTCCAACTATTTCTGGCATAAAAGCATGTGAATTTGAGTCATCCTGGTGTAGTGCTGTAGGATCAGGACTGGACTTCGAACCACAAGGCCAATGATTCAAACCTTGAAAACCCTATACAGGGTCACGATGAGTCGGAACCTACTTGGCAGTACTTAACAACAACAGTGAGCTATTGACCACTTATTATTACTTACTTTGAACCAGGAAAAGGATTATAACTAACATTAAATGCTTTAAGTTGGTTGTAAGTTTGACTTGATGATAACATTTTATCCCCTAGATTTTTTTGCTGTTGTAATGGAGCCGTTCATACCAAAAACATACATCATCAATGACGTTGATTGCTTGGTCCAAGGTCTCCTGCTTCAACATTTGAGACTGTCTTATCTCTGGCAATGTTATTTCTATGAACCAGGATGTGAATGACACCTACACATTTAGGGTAAAAACTTATATATACATTAGTGCAAAATGCTCCCAAAAAAAAAGCAGACATTTGTATAGACTGAGCATACACAACACACTAAACTCTGTGACCACAAAGTGATCTGAATAATCAATCCATGATAATCTGAATTCAAAACATGAGAAAAAACTAGTTATACTAAAGTTCTCTGTGGGCGACGAGGATTGGGACAGTGGTGCTTAATCCAAAAGACTGCAGCTAAAACATACTTTTCCCTCTAGATGAGAAAGATCCACGATTTGTTCCCTTGGTACTTTGGGGT